CAGTAGAAATAGTTATCGTGGACACTAATTCAGTTACCATACCTGAATCCTTAGTCAAAGCTAATATCCAGGTTGTGACTGTCCACGGTTTGGTTTCCTTTTATCCCTTTAAGTCTATTTCTTGGTATCAGTCAAGTATGTTTCTTCGTGGTAAAGGAGCTGTCTCCCTGGGACCTGGAGACAGAGTGGGCGGAGGGGAGACAGAGCGCCTCCTTCCCTGGAAGCCCAAAGCGAAGAGCAGTTCAGGAGGGAGAATTCCTCGATTGACTTGGGGAGCATGAATGGTCTCAGAGTCCCCAGAATTTAAAGCAGGATTAAACAAGTTCAAATGAGATAAGAAATAAAGATGTTTAGTGCCAATAAAATGTTTTGGAGACTTCTTAAACTGTTTTTTCCTAAAGAAATGCTCATCCATTATTAAAATGATGATTGACTTATTTCATGGCAATATATATTATATAAAATTAAGATAACTTTCCATTTCAAATTTAAAAGACATTAAATAAATGCCATATCAAATTTAAATTACATATTAAATAAACGGTGCTATTTTAAGCAATGCTTATGTTCTCACTTTGCTTATATGCCTGGTGTAATAAAGAAACAGAATGCCTTCTTGGCCCCTTTAAACTTTTTAATGAATAGTGGGTGGTTTTGATATCTAATTGGAAACTTCAAATCTGGTTAGAACTTTTATAATCAAGAGTAGTCTATATACTTCAAGGAAGTAAAAACAGGAAAAAATATTGGTGATTTTGACTAGGGATCCTCGAATTTTTAGTATTTAAAGGGCATACAAATCTAAGAATCTTATTAAAATGCAAATTCTGTTTCTATAATAGTCTGGAGCATCGCTGCATTTCTAACAAGCTCCCAGGATGCTGGTGTCGGAAATGCACTTAGTCTTAGGCAGCACTCTGATAAGTTATTGCAAGGATAACTGTCACAGCTTCAGCATTCTAAGTCTACATCTATATCTATCTATCTATCTATCTATCTATCTATCTATCTATAAACACTTTGAAATGTCTGTTTTAAAAGTGTTTATTCTTGTCAGAGGTTAATACATAGATAAGTAGTCTGCATTCAATGGATATGAACTTTGAACTTTTCCTAGAATTTCTAGTATCTAGAAGAGATCTATAAATATATTTATTCTACGCTATGTCCTCACTTTTAAAATCCTAATTACCATTGTCTTAAGGCAGTTCTCTCAGAAATTATGTGTGTGTGTGTGTGTGTGTGTGTATGTTTCCATATGCCTGTGTGAGTACACTGAGAAATAAAGGTTCACCTTCATTTTTTCAAAAAAGAAACATTTTCTCTGTGATGTATTTCTGTTATTTCCAGTAGAAACTCAGCTAAAACCTAAGGGAAAGTTGGTTTGTATTTGGAGAGCTGCAAGTGCTTGCATGAATTTATCTTGAGATAATTGAGATGAAAAATTTTGTTCTCTGTTTTCTAAAATTCAACTGAACTCACCCTAAAGCAACCTTTTCCTAGCCAGGTGCATCAGAGAAATTTTAAAATATCTCGCCTTGGTTTTGACATTTATCTG